GTCGCGTCTGGCTTGTATGTCTCCTTGGCCTTGTCGAGGGCACGCCGGACTTCTGCCCACTTCTCGCACTTGTCAATGCGCTTGTAGACGTGGAGGTGCTTGAAGTCGGCGTCTTGGTTGTCGCCCCGATACATGGCGAACATACGCAGCAGCTGCGAGGAGGGGCAAACAGTTGGCTGGCGGCGGGCATAGGGGACGAAGATATGCGGGCGAACGGCGTGCGTACCTGATCCTCAACGCTGGCGCCGCTCTCCGGGCGAGCCGCGACCTCCTTGACGATTCCATGCCATTTGTTGCACGCCAACTGGATACGCCCCCAATGGTTCGCCATCGCCTTGGAGCCGCGCTGCATGTAGACGCCTTTGAAGTAGGGGTCGACGAGCTTCCGCTCGTCGAACTCGGCCTTGATGCGGTCCCAGTACGTGTCCAAGCTCTGGTTCACGCCGGTGGTCGGGTCGAGGCAGACGACTTTCCATGCTTCGGCGAGGCATTCCTCCTCCTTGGACGTCCACTTGATGTGCGGTTCGCCTGACCTAGCCGCCCGCTTCTTCTTCTTCCGGCGCCCCTTCGTCGGAGCAGGAGCCGGCTCCTCCTCCTCCTCCTCCTCCTCCTCCTCGTCCTCCTCGGGCTCCTGCGCGTCGTCGCCGTAGACGTAGCCGAGCTCGGCCTCCATGTCGCCGTTGAGGTCCACCACCTCGTCCTGGGTGGCGAACCCGGGAGACGCGGCGGCCGCGGTCAATCCTGTCGCGATGATGTCGTCCATGTTGGCTCTCGTGTCGTTGGCGTCGCCAAGGTGCGAGAAGGGCAGTGGTCCGCGGTAGAGATGGGGCATCGGTGTGGACGCGTACGAGGCGGGCGGCGAGTACTTGTATGGAGGGTACTGCACGCCGGCGAAGGCGGGAGAGGGCGTGCGCGTAGCAGGGTGACCATGAGGGAAGGTCACGTTTGGGTTGAACCCACCGTGCGCGTCGCCGTCGGCGTAGCCGGGCGACGATGAACCCCATGGAGATTCGGCGCCTTGCTGTCCTCAGGGCGCGTACTAGGCGTGGCTGACGACGGGGGGATTCATCCCCGCCTGGTCGACCGATGAGGAAGACGCCGTAGCGCGCGCCGCGTTGTCGCGGGCCTTCTTGGCTATGGCCCTGTTCCGCCTGTCGGCGGTGACTGCTTCGCGCCGCTGAACTTCCACCCTCCTTCGATGGCGGCGCCCTCGGCTTCCTCTGCTTCGGCTGGGCCACGGCGCCAGTCGCGGGTGCCGCCGCGCGCGGCATGGCGTACTTCTTCGGCGGCATGGCGTGCTTCTTCGCGGCGAGCGAGCGGGAGGTGGTTTGGCGGGAGAAAGGGAGAGAATGGCGGGAGGAAGGCGAGCGAGCGGGAGAGATGCGAAGGAAAAGCGTCGAGAAACGGCGGGAAAAGGCCCTCGGGTCGCTTCCAGGGCGGGCCCACGCGCCTTTTTCATTTGTGCGGGCTCCCCAAGCGCCCCCCAGGGCGCCGGGTTCGGCCTGGGTCCGCCGGCAACAGTTTTGGCCCGAGTCGGCGAAAAAGGGCTTCTGAGGGCGCGACTGGGGCCTTTTTTTGGCGCCGGCGCGGCAAAATCGCCTGAGGAGGGCCTGTTGGGGGCGCGGCTGGAGATGCCCTGAGAACAGGGAAGTTAACGCCAGAATCTGGCTGTTTGACTTGAATGAAACGTTGGATCATGCTAACTTCACAAGGATGGTGGTAACCCTGTGGTCTATTTGGTATGCGAGGCGTAAGGCTATATACGAATCCATTTACCAGAGTCCTCAGCAAACCACATCTTTTGTCAACAACTACATTAGCGATCTTGGTTAATATGCGTTCAAGGATAATACCCAAAGCGCGAGATCACCGACAGCTCCAAAGCTGGAGAGGTGGCTGCCACCTCCTACTGGCAATGTCAAGATCAATGTGGATGGAGCAGTCGCAAGAAACCACCGGAGAGGAGTAGCAGCGGCTATTTGCAGAAACCAGGAGGGTCTATATTTGGGATCCTCAGCGCTTGTCTTTCAGGGAACCAGGGTTCCTCTTATCAACAGAGGGACCGGAGGCCCCAATGCTTCGATAGTATAGGAAATCCTGGGCCGATGTAATAGCTTTATTTCATGCTCTTTTATTCACGAGCGTAGAAATTTTAATTATGAGGCTCATAATCTCGCTAAATTCGCTTGTAATTTAGGCATAGGAAGGCATACTTGGTTGGGCAATCCTCATGACCCGAACCGTGTACCTATGACAATTGCTATGAATGAATAAAGATAGTGAGATTTCTCAAAAAAAAAAAACCTGCTCATAGTTTCATTCCCCTAAAAAAACCTGCTCACAGTTCACAAAATTTCCTAAAAAAAAGTTCACAGAAGGAGAGAAGAAATACACTTGGACATGAACATAACCAAGTTTTTTTATAGAAACAGGAACATTTGATACCCCTACTTTTTTTCTAAATAGGAAAAATATTCATGTGTTGCAAGAGGCCGCGGGCGCTCGGCGCCATCATATGTACATGCTTGCTTGGACATTGAGGGGCTGCCCATCATCGTCATCGACCCCCGTGGCAAGCTCGGGCTGTCGGGCAACTAGCAAGGACGACGACGGTGGCACGGGGTGAGCCCTAGTGCGGCTCCGAGGTATACGAGGTTCTCTGCTCTGCCATCTCTCTTGGGTTAGACTACTAGAGTGCGTGGGGTTGGGGAGGAATGAAAAATGGGCCTCGGATGGAAGATTGTGCATTGTATGGGCTCAACCTTCGGTCCGCGAGCCGAACTGAGCCAAAAGAGGATTGGATCGAATAAAATTAGGCCCACTTTCACATACCAGACCGGCTGTAATTTTTATTATCGGGCCTAACTCTTACGGTCTGGTCCAGTCTGATCTACGACTGGGCCAAAAAGCCCAATCATCTCTGGATGCTGCGGACACAGACGTCCGCGAGCGGGGTGACTATTTATCGCATTAAGCGATATGGAAAGTTTCTCTCGCTGAAGCACCTGCAGCTATCAGGCCGGCCCATTCAAGAATTTTTTTTGACAAAGAAGTGCAAAAAAGTATAGAGAAAAGTAAAAAAATAAAGAAAAAAATGAGAACAGAAAAAACAAGAAAGGAGGCCGTGGCCTGCCGCGCGAGTGGGCCGGCCCATCTCTAAAGCTGGACTTGCTGAACGGCATGGCAAACGGGCTGCAAAAACGAAGCAGCCTTCACGGAATTTTCCTGCCAAGTTTGGGAGGCCCACGGTAACCTGCTCCACAACAGCTCAACGCGAACACAAAAAAAAAAAGAAGCTCACGGCCAAGACAAAAAAAACGTAAGATAGGGAACGCCGCCGCCTGCCATCGCAACGCCAGCCGATAGGGCACGCCGCCGTTCGCCACGGGCCGGCCGGCGTCCTGCTCGTCGCCGCCACGGCGTCCCGCTCGTGCCCCGGTGCGCGGCCACCCTGCTTCCCACTTGTCCCCACGTGGGCCGCCTTTTTGCCTCTGCCGGCGCCACCACCGCTCCCTGCCCGTCGCCGCCCGTGGAGCAAGATGAAGGGTGCTCCGATGGACGAGCACAAGAAGCCGGCAGAGGAGGAGAACAAGAATTCTTCCGGCGAGTCAGGATGCGGTCCGGCGAGAAAGCAGGTTGAAGCTACAGGTCTGAATTCTAATCCTCTCTGCACCTGTGCTTAGTGTGATTTATTATTAGCGCGCTCTGTAATTTATAAGCAGCAAATGCCACCAGCACCAGGGATATAAAACTGGATGAGTGGTTTATAAGCAGTATTGAAGGAATGCTACATACATGTTGGAAGAGAAATGTTCGAACTCTGAACCTTTGTCTGTTCTGCATCTGAAGAAGAGCACATGAAATTAAAATCTTAATTAGGTGTTTTGCATCTGAAGGTATGCTAGTACAGTACTAAGTGGCTACTTGATATACATGGATCATTGGAATCTAGTCTAGTGCTTCTACTCACGATTTTCTCAACTGAATTGATTTCTCCTCAGACAATTTTAGGAGGAATAATTCAGATATGACAATTTCTACTAATCGACCACATAAAGAAGGGCAGGTCTTTGATCCTTCAGACCCGGTACCGGCCATTAAAATTGACGACGAAGATTGCTTGGCAAGATGACAATATTTCATTTGTTATTGTGACATTTACTTTGAGCTCATGTATTGTTTCTCTGTCTCACATGCCTACAGCCAACATAGCAGCTGTTCTACTTCTACCAAGCAAGCAAATGCAGTGAAGAAACCACCACCGCCTGTTTTTCACAGCCGAAGGTGAGTACATGGTTGTTTCTTTCTGGTTTAAGATGGCCACATCAGGATTCCGTTGTTTCACACAAGTGAGTCACCAATATGTTTCTCTTACCACTTAACTGCTCCGGCAGCAGATATTCTCGGATGTGAACGCAGAGGCGACAGGAATAGGAGACGGCGACGAGGCATTGATCTGACAAGTAACACATACCAGGTCAGTGCACTTTTAATAAGCAGTGCATTGATCTGAGTTGTTGAAGATGGTATCTGGATGTGTATAGCAGGCAGCTACGTACGTAGTAGCCTAGTAAGCAAAGTTGATCATGGTGCTCTTGGCAGGCACCTGCAGTTTTCTCTTTTGTTCCACGCTGATCATATCAGCCTGTAAAATCGATACAGTACAGATTAAGCAGTACTGCATATTGACTCACAATGGTACTACTCTACTTATTAGTACTCATCGCCATTAACAATCCTCTGTTCCATTCTCGCCAAGATCGAGCTCGAACGGTCAAGCCTCTGGTCTGGATCGCAATAGAGTATACCCATGGATCCAAGAAGCGGCCGGCCGGCAAAAGAGCAATCAGCTAACTAGCTTGCCCGGCCGGTCAATCTTCAGTGATCCGTTTTGGCTTATGTAGCTAACTAGCTAGCTCATGGTGGATGTTTATGCGTCCTCCATCTCCATGGGCGGCTGAGACGGATGCTTCCTTGGTCTTCAGTATGGTTGAATGAAATCACCTCGGCTGCAGGCGGTCCAAGGCAAGGTAGGCGACGACTCGGTAGCCGACGAGGAGGAGCGCCATGACGCAGACGTCCACCCAGTGGTTGTTGAGCCCGACGGCCTTGATGGCGGGGAAGTCGGCGACGGGGCATAGCGCGCCGCCACCGCAGTCGTAGACGCCGCCGCCGTCGCGGAACTGGATGCCGAGGAGGAGGCGGTAGCAGTAGAAGCTGTAGTTGAGCCACTTGAGCCACCCGATGAAGGGCGGGATGTGCTGCACGTAGTAGCCGCCGGCGATGAGGAAGACCATGGTGACGACGGAGGCCAGCGTGGTGCCCTGCTTGACGTCCATGAGCACGGCTCCGATGGCGAGGCCGAGGCTCTGGGCGACGAGCACGCTGTAGAGGACGACGAGGAGGGAGAGGAGGAAGGAGGCCGGGCGTGGGTCGAGGCCGCCCATCCAGTAGAGGATGAGGACGAAGGCGGTGGGCAGGCCGAGCTCCATGGGGAGGTCGGCGGCGGTGCGGGCGGCGAAGTAGGAGGAGAGGCGGTACATCCCCGAGGAGCGCTCCTTGAGCAGCATGGGGCGCTCGAGGGGGAAGACGAAGACGGCGTTGTAGAGCGGGAAGAAGCCCCAGAAGACGGAGAAGAAGAAGATGAGCGCCGTGCGGTCCTGCAGGTGCGCCGCGGGCGTGCGCCACCAGAGGAGGCCCGCGAGGAAGGCGACGCTGAGCACCTGGAAGATGCGGAGCTTGTTGAAGGACTCGTGGCGGCGCTCCTTGAGCCCGCGCCGGAGGAGGACCGAGAACTGGGCGCACCACCCGGCCGTCCACTCCACTCTAGCCGAGGCGCCCCGCCGTATGCCGGCGCTGGCCGTCTCACTGGAGCATATGTCCAGCTTCACCGCCGGCGCAATGTGGCGCGCGTATGCGTCGGCCAGCTTCGCCCTCACCTCCTTCTGCTCACCCTCGCTCCCGCCGCCAGGAACTCCGTCGCCGTTGGTCTCCGGCAAGATACCTGCATGCAGAGCACAATTCACAGTGATGATCAGCGAACGTCTCCCCGGAGGTCGACAAGTGTCGGGCACTGTGTTCGTGGCCGGAATGGAGGAGGGAATGATGAGGAGGCGACCGGCCGGTCCGTGGTGGTGGCCATGATTGGGGAGTGGACGGAGCAGTGCGTCCCTGTCCGTGTCCCTCTCTCCCCCACCCAGGCAGGCGACCCAACAGCTCCATCCATCGATCGACCCGATCGTACGTCGCCATTGCCATTTCGGCTCCGTGTCTCTCAGTGGCTGCCGATTTGGCGTGCGCTTACGTACGTGCGTGTGGTTAATCACAAACGATGGTGCTGGCGATTGTGATGTGATGGACGCTGATGCAGATGCAGGAAAAGGGGAGAAATCGAAAAGCATGCGCGCACCACAATCTTAGCACACCACATTCTATCTCCCCTTTATTTATCTTATTGTTTTGTTTGTGTAATCCCTTTAATCGAAAAAGTATTTTATTTTAGTTCTTGGTGGGTGCCTGTGGTATCCTATGGCATTATTTTATCTTTTTCTGGCCAAGTGGTTAGCCGAACAACTGTCGTTGCGGATCAGGTGCTGCAACCAACTGTATTTATATTATTTCCATGATGAACTGAGCTTAGTTTCAGATGGTTAGATTCTTTGGGGCATTTTCATCTTACTGTTCACGAGTGACATGTCCATGGCAAGTCACTGGATCTCGGTCCGCACTACACTGTGTACCGAACGAAATTGTTAATTAAGTATTTTCCAAATTAGAAATCGAGATTTTCTACTACGTTATACATAGTTGATTGCGACCAGGCCGGGTTGGCATCTTAAGTGACACCCTACACTAACCATCTTGGCTTCTCCATGGATTTTAGAGTGATGTGGGTTCGTGGTCTATGAGCTCAGCGTGATGGAATGCAATGCAATGGCACATGCACGCCAACATGCCATATGCATTGGACAGCATCATGAGAAATAAAGCGAAAGGGAATATGAGGGGTGGTGCGGCGATGGGTGGGGTGGAGTCGTGCGTGGCATACCGTTGGCGAGGTCGAGCATGAGGTCGGCCGGGTTGACGGACAGCGGCGACGCGAAGCCGACGGAGGCGAAGTAGGAGAGCGCGTCGGCGGCGCGCCCGTAGTAGATGGGCCGCCCCTCGGCGGACAGCAGCAGCACCTTGTCGAACATGTGGTAGAGGCGCGACGACGGCTGGTGGATGGTCACCACGACCGTGCGGCCGCCTCCGGCGGCCATGCGGCGGAGCGTGCCGACGATCCTCGCGGCCGTGGTGGAGTCGAGCCCTGAGGTGGGCTCGTCCAGGAGCAGCAGGCTCGGGTCCACCAGCATCTCCAGCCCGATGCTCACCCGCTTGCGCTCGCCGCCGGAGAGCCCGCGCACGCCACGCACGCCGCCGACCATGCTGTGTGCCACCTTGGTGAGGCCCAGCTCCCGGGCCACCGCCTCCGCCTGCGCGCGCTTCTCGCCGGCGCCGAGGGCGCGGGGAAGCCGGAGCAGCGCCGTGTACCACAGCGTCTCGGAGACGGTCAGGTGCGGGTACAGCACGTCGTGCTGCGTCACGAAGCCCGTGCGCCGCTTCACGGCGCCGGAGAAGGGCTGCCCGTTGTAGGTGATCTTCCCGGACAGCAGCGCGTGCCGGTGACGCCCGCCCAGCGCCGTCAGCAGCGTCGTCTTGCCGCTCCCGGACGGGCCCAGCATCGCCAGCATCTCCCCGGGCCGCACCGCACCCGACATCCCGCTGATGATCGTCTTCTCCCTCGGCGGCAACGCCGCCGCCTTGTTCTTCCTGGTCCCCGCCCTGCCGCCGCACGCCGACGACACCACCCTCGTGCACCATCCCTCCGTCGCCTGCCCGACCTTCACCTTGTACACCACTTCCTCAAACTGCACCCATGCAGCCACAGTCTCACCACCAATCGTGACTAAACGAGTAACTGAATGCGCACGGGCGTGCAGCTGCATGAAACATTACCTTGAGCACGAGAGGGAAGGGGTTGGCGGCGGCGGGGCGGTGGCCGGAGGCGTCGGACGGCGGGCTGGAGGTGGTGGGGTGGACGGCGCCGGAAGGGTTGCTGTTGCTGCCGGGCGGCGTACAAGTAGAAGTAGGTGCCTCCTTGTGTTTACCATCATCATGCAATTCTTGAGGCGCCATGGCGATCTTCTTTGTATATAGTGCTAGCTTATGATGATGATGATGAGATGAGATGGGGCAAGTTTAGGACCTTGCTTTGCCACTGCTACTTGGTTAACTCGTCTGGCTGGGGTGGTGGTATTTATCGGGGGAGGAGGGGGGCAAAGGGAGGGAGAAGGGGCCCTACCAAATGGGCTCAGGCCTCATGGGAGCGACACTTTGTTGCTGTCACTTTCTCTTTGGTTAGTTAGTTAGTTCTCCATCGGTATATATATTTGTATTTACCGATTAGTTAGTCCTTGATTAACAACTATGCATGTGTGTGGTATGTGCATGAAAGTAACATCACTAGCTATCAGCTGGTAGTTACAACCGGCAGTTATTATTGTTAAAACATGAGTGAAAGGAAGTTTACAGATGTCATGCATAGTGGCCGCTGTAGCTGTTTGTATGGAGACACGGAGGGGCAGGATGGCTCGGTGGACATACATTCAGTACATAATTAACATATCTCTTTTCCCTTTCCTTCGGACATGATGGAGTGGACTTACTGATCAAACTGCATAGGTTTTTTTTTTCCGAAAAGGAGGATGTCCCCAGCCTCTGTATCGATTGTTACAGAAAATCATAAGTACTATTTATTGTTTAAAACAATACCAAGCATCGATGCCGAGCAAGGCCCCCGGATTCACAAAAGACAAGCAATAAGCTACACATTCTTTGGTTCGAAGGAAGCATTTGTGTTTCTAACAAAGGCGAGCTCAAGAAACTTATCCTGCACCAAGCTCATGATAACATATACCTCACAAAAAAAAAGAGCTCATGATAACATATTATCTACAACCAGTACATACTTTTTGCACTACACCCATATCTATACAAGCATTATGAGTGACACCCTTGTTCACCTACCTATGGTACATATGTGTGTGTGAAGAGAACCATAATCCAAGGCTGTGATAATGAATAAAAAACAAATAAAACATAATGTGAATATATGAACTCGAATCGAGATGATGATTGCGATGTGGGTGCGCTCTGACCAAAAACTAAATCTGGAAAAAATGTATATACAAGTACATGTTCTCACACGCTGATATCCATCTTATTCCCCTTTTCAATTCTTTATTTATTTCATCACAAGTTTTAAACATTATTTCATCTTTTTGACACACAATCTCCATTCTTGTGTGCAATCTAATCTAGCGCACTACCAGACACTTTTCTTTACTTTTCCCTCTGTTCCCTTGTTCAATTCATTGTTTATTTCTTCAACTATTCTACTAAGAGATCACTATGTATTATATGCCACATAATAAAATGTAGTCACCTCACTACCTCCCAATTAGGCCATTAATTTGGAAAATAAACACTTGTGCTAATGCATTTGAGTCTATAGAAATTGGTTTATGCTGGAAGGAAAAAGCATATCTCACTGTTGAGAATCAGTTGTGAAAAGGATATATCTTGGAACAAGATCTTCCTTTGGCCAGTGATGTCACATTAACATTAAAGCCAATAACTTTGGCTAGTTGCTTTGGCCAGTTGCCAGCGCCTTTACTTGCAGCACAAAGCTAGCTACCATGCAAAGCAGACCAATTTACTGATCATGTGCAGGGAATGAATAAAAGGAGCCCATGTTAGCTGCTTCTGCATGCATGTCTAATGGCAAATTGATAGAACATGCAACCATCAGCCATGTGTGGTTCCTCCGATCTTGCTCCAACTGTTTAGGTGAGTGTTCACACAAATTCACAATAATCTATAGGAAAAGCCAGAGCTAGACATATGCACCTTTAGCTAGTAGTAACAGGTCACCAGTTTTGTCGTGGGAGAGTGGGAGGTGAATCTGTGCCACTCATGTCAATTTGCCATTTATATTTATCTGGCTTCCTTTTCTCCCTCCTCTTTCTTTCTTTCTTCTCCCTCCTCTCTTTCTCCCTCTCTCTCTTTTCTTGATTGCTTGCCTACACTAGCCATATTGCCTGAGTGATAGCTCCTACAGATTTGTAAAGGCTGCCAAATTGTGATCTCTGGTAGATCAGCTGTTTCATTTGGGCTTTCTGCGTTAGCATGTGCATGTGCAGGCAATGATGCATCTGAGGACTAAAGCCAGCCACGTCGTGAACTATAGTACAACAAAACCAGCAGCTACTAGTGTTTGTTACCTTTGTATGACATGGAAATGGTATAGTGGTACTTGTTAGGTTTTTCCCCAACAGCTAGCTGCCATCCATTGCACAAAATCATGATGCGAAGCCCTCAAAAGTTTAGTAGCTAGTGACACTGAAAATAAAGAGAGATCTAGCTAGCGTTAATTTTTATGCCATAGGACGGACAAGTGCTTGCTTTTCTAAAACTTAAATACACGGACCGGTCATATATAAAGCAATCAAACAGGTAGCATATGAACTGTAGTTATTTATGGATCTGTAATGTATTCTTTTCTTGGTGGAGTACAAATAACGCTTGAGATATTGTAGACTATTGGTCAACTAAATTAATAATGTCATTGCATGATTCGTAATGTAGCAGCTGGAATCTAGCCTTAAATGGAGCGGATTCTTTGCAGCAGATGATGTACTTTGGGCTAATTTATTGGTTGCTGTTGATGATCATGGCTAGCTATGGGTGTGCGAGACCCAATCCAACTGCTATCTTCAGAATTTAGTGAGAGGCACTGGGGCTAGCCAGTGTACTTGTTTTTGTTAGTGCATCGATCCATATGCGCAAACTGCCCTGTCAGTTCCTAAATGAGATCATGTGATGTTATTCCAGCATCAACTAACATTTGTTGGCTTCAGATATATGCCCAAGAATTTTCTTAGCTCAGCTAGTGTTTCTCCACTTGTCCAGTGGGTATTTGATCATGGGCCCTTTTCAAATATCAAGCTTGCCAAATTGGGGACCATTTCGGCGCATTTTCTGATCGAATAAGAGTGCGCAATGATGGGTATATTATACATAATGCCTGAGCATGGCCTTGATGGTGATGTCTCAGTGTTGATCTGCTAGCTAAGCTTGCACTCATGTTCTTGATCATGATCTTTCATGAACGCGGTTGCGAGGAATAAATGTCATGTCAATGATCTATGGAGATGATCAGCAGAACGATATCCATTGGGTATCAAAATTAATGCTCACGAAGATCATCCATGTTTGCTTATAATCCTTACCTTTTATGGGCACTATGTTATTTCTACAATGGTTGGTATCCACATTGAATGCAATCTTGGTTAGCACTTAGCAGGTCATAGATTTGAATGGTTTGCTAATGTGAGTGCATATATCACAGAAACAAGCTTTCACTCCACTTTATAAATAAAGCCAAATGGCCGAACCGATACAAGGTGATGAGAAAATACTCTTACGAAGCAGGTAGAAATAAAACCGACAACCGAGAGAATAGCGAAAACACCACCAACTCAAAGTCGAGCAAGAGTACAAGAATAGCCATGCCCCACAAAGAAGCACACGAGACAACCAACTAGGAACAAAACCGCACCTTCTTGGGAAACCACCTGACGTTGTTACACCGCACACACCAAGCTATCGCTGGAGAGGGCCACCTGCCCTCTCACTCCAGGCCGTAGAGCGTCGATCATGTCTATGGATAGTGAGGTCCGAGAAAGGTGACACTGAGGTCATGTGTCAAAGAAGACCATAAGAGGCAAATGAGAGACCACCCCACGTCAATGGGCTAGGAATGGCCGCCAAGACCCAACAATAAAGCTGGATGCCAAGAATAAAGCTTAACCGAGGATGTCGATGCGCTAGGAATGGCCGCCAAGACCCAACAATGGGCTAGGTTTTCACCTGGAACCCTGGCACAAGGAGGGGAACCACAATGACGCCTCCAAGAAGGATGCAACAACCACAATTATCACCGCCGTCGAAGCGGTGAGCTTTCGCTCAGAGTCTCATCTACGCTGCACTCAGGTGCCATGGTCGCCAACCCCATCCCAATGGAAGGGCACACTAGTGCAGAACCGGCCTTTAGTGCCGGTTCGTAACGGCCTTTAGTGCCGCTTCTACAACCGGCACTAAAGAGTGGGGACTAAAGCCCCCCACCCTTTAGTACCGGTTCGTCACGAACCGGCGCTAAAGTGCTAACACGTGGCACGAGCCAGGCCCGGGTGCGCGTAGGGCTTTAGTACCGGTTGGTAACACCAACTGGTACTAAATTTTTGGGTTTTTTTTATTTTTCATTACATTTTTTTGTTTGCTGGTATTTCACGATACTATAAATTGTACACGTTATGCATATATATAAATAGATTTTCTCGTACGTATAGAAACACACACACACACACACACACACACACATATATATATATATATATATATATATATATCATCGAATCTCTCACAACTAACACCATTATTCACACATACACATGTATATACATATACAATTTCTCCTACATATGTTGCCTTGGTGCCTCCGGAGCACGATGACAAGTGGTTCATGGGGGCGGTAGCGGGTAATAGTGTTCTCCTTTGGGATTTATGACCTGGTCGAGCAAAAATCCGGCTATTTCCTCTTGAAGTGCTTGTATGCGCTCCTCGGATAGGAGCTTATGCCGCACCTCTCTAAACTGTTAAGAAGGAGATCAATAATATGCATGTGTGTTAGTTGTGTGACTAGATATCGATAATAGTGTGAATAGTGTTCTGATAAACGTATCCAGTCCTGTCTATCAGATCTGCTCCTTTCGGACGTCATCATGCAAATGTTCTCGCAAACATAGAATGCACACAGATTATTCCCCGGCGCCTGCTTCAGGCCCTTTACGAGAATGGAATTGAATCAGATAATGATTAATCAAGCATGATAATTTATTAATGATATTGAAATAAGAATTAAAGAGATGGTAGCTAGCTAGTACTACTTAATTACTTACCTTTGGTCGATGCCAAAACAACTTTTGTTTCCATTCGCCTGGAGTCGCCGCGATGAACTTTGCCCATGCCCTGCCCGCCAGCAAAGAAAATTAATAAAAGGGTTATTAAATAGTTCA